CTAATAAATAACAGCCCATGTCCTACTTTCTAGAATGATAGTTACTTTTGTATATTTCCTTTTAGTACTTTGTGATGGTGTCAGGTCCGTATTGAGGGGAGCAGATGGCAGCCTTAGGGAGCAGGGTTAAAACTGCCTCATACTGGCAAATTCAGAAAGTTCATATATGGAGCATTTTGATTGGCGAATATATCAAATGGCTTCTGGCTAATCAGACTCACCATGTTCATTTGAACTTACAAGGAGTGGAAATCTGCTGAGATGAGTGATGGAGATCATTGTGGTTCTTCTTTCAACAGGTGTTTGTTTGCTTGTGGAAGGGTTGTAAAGTATATAACACTCCATCCACCAGTCAGAGTTGGTTACAGAGGCATATGCTGACACACAGTGGAGACAAACCTTTCAAGGTATGTATGTGGGGTTGGTTTTCTTCTTAAATTTCAGTTTAGGTTGGCATGTTTCCTTATGGGCATACTTTTGCCCTTCTAACAAGTTTTAAAAGAACCATTTAACATTTTTGTAAGTGCTTGGATTTCAACAGTAGATGGAGATAAAGATAATTTAATCCACTTTTTCCCGTTTGAAGAGCAGAAAAAAGTTGCTGTTAGATGGGAGTTGTTTTTTTATTTTTTATTTTATTTTTCTTGGAGTCAAAGTCTTAGTATGTACCCCAACCTGGCCTGGAAACTTGCTGTCTGTAGCTCAGGCTGGCCTCAAATTGTGATCCTCCTGCTTTAGCTCCCTAAGTGCTGGGCTTCAGCACTTAGCCAGCCACCACGCCTGGGTAGGTAAGGGTTTTAAAGCTGCAGTAGACAGAACAGGTCAAAGCTAAATTTGCCAGTTGTCTTCTGTTAGTATTGTGCTTTCACTATCCAGGGTGCAGCCTCAGCAGCCCATAACACCATTGTGAAATCAAGAGCTATAGAACTCAGCTTTGAGGCTACACCGGGGGCTTAGTTGTCAAGTACACATGTCTTGGGAGATTATAAAGAACAAAATCAGGAAAAAAAATTCTCCTTCCATTTGTCTTCATTGAAAATTAAACAAGATATTTTGGTTTCTAATTGTGGAAACCATGTACCACAGAGTTTAAAGGTTTGTGTTTAAAATCATAATATGTACTAGAATGTATGTACTCTGCCGGAAACTTCCCTTAAGTTTTGTCAGAGAATGAGGTGATACTTGTGGAATTGCTTTTAAAAATCATTTGAATGTTTTTTTAAAGAGACACTCATTAACAAGTTTGAAGAAATCACATCAAAAGTTCATAGCCAGGTGTGGTAGGAATGCCTGAGGTCCCAGCAGTTTTGGAGGCTAAGGCAAGAGGCTTGCTGGAACTCAGGAGTTAGGAGCCAGCCTAGGCAGCATGGTCAAACCCTAAATTGTTTTTTTTTTTTTTTTTTTTTTTGCATTTAGAAATCTTGCTTCCTCTTCAGTCCTGTATCCTCTTCCCCTACACATGTAACTACTGTTACTTGTGAATTCTTTTAGTACTTCTTTATGGAATTAAAAACATGAAATAAACATGTAGTCTCATTCTTCCTTTTTTCCCCCTCTGGCAGTGCTGGGGTTTGAACTCATGGCCTTGTGTCTTAGGCATACCCACTACCACTTGAGCCATACCTCCATCCCTTTTTGCTTTAGTTACTGATTTTTTGGTGGCACTGGGGCTTGAACTCAGGACTTCATGCTTTCTAGGCAGGCGTTTACCACTTGAGTCACTTCGCCAGCCCTGCTTTGGTTATTTTTGAGATAGGGTCTCTCTAGGTAGCTAAGACTGGCCTGGTACTACTATGGAGCTGACCTCAAAGTCATAATCCTCCTGCCTCAGCTTCCCAAGGGCTATTATTTATTATAGGTATGGGGGAGCATGCTTATAGTTCTTTGAGTAAATTACTGTTGTTCTCATGTAAAGATGGGGAAACTAACATAAGAAGAAATTAAGTATGTTCTGTGGTCATTGGCAGTCAGTGAGACCCAGGATCTCAAAGTGGTATGTGGTCTGAGGACTTACTGTTTCCATATAGAACAGCTCCTGTGCTCCGTACAATCTGTATTTGGGTTACCATCTGTTTGTCTTTGTTATTAGCTACTATTTTAGCAATTTCAGTACTTGTTTATTTTCTAGGCAGGCACTATACCACTTGAGCCACTTCACCAGTCCTTTTGTTTATTTTCTTATTTTTTTTTTTTATCTTTTTGAGACAAGGTTTCATTGTGTAGTCCACTTTGGACTCTTGATCCCTGTCTCAGCCTCCCTCGGACTCAGATCATAGGCAAGAGCCACTATGTCTGGTGAGCTTTTCCTTAATTCTTTGTAGTCTCTTGATACTCTTCCTCCACCCTGTTACATGCAAATAAATATGTTGTAAAAATAATAGTGCCCTGTTAAAATTTGATATTAATCCAGATGACAGTGGTTCACACCTGTAATCCTAGCTACTTGGAAGGCTGAGATTGGGAGGATTGAAGTAGTTTGAGACCAGCTCAGGCAAATAGTGAGACTCCATCTCCAAAATAAACCAGAGCAAAATGGACTGGAGGAGTTGCTCAAGTGGTAGAGCACCTGCTTTTGCAAGTACAAAGCCCAGAGTTCAAACCCCAACCCTCCCATCCCACAAAAAACCCATTTTTGATATTAAAAAGCATAAATAAGAATATATAAATATAGCTATAATCTATCTATAGAAAGGCATTTTTTATTCTTTGTATCTGACTTGGTAATCTAGTAGTAAATATTTTGCACATATGTGCAGTCTTTTTTAGTTTTGTATTGGATATTTTATGCAGTGAATTTATTACCCTAATGTTTTAGGATTGTGTAATTTCATTTTGTGTGTGGGGTGCTGGAGTTTGAGCTCAGGGCCTCATGCTCTGCCACTCAAGCCACTCCACCAGCCCTTATGTAACGATTTACTGTATTTTATGTGGCCATTCTGTTCTCGATGGATATTTTTCCTAATTTTCCCAGATGTAAACAGTAGTGTAGTCAGTACAGTTTTGTAAATATTGGAGAATATAAATTCCTAGAAGCTTGTTTTTTCCAGTGCTGGGGATACTCTATCATTGAGCTTTATCTCCAACCCCCTTGAAGGCATTTTGTCTCCAAAGGACCTATCAAAGGATATGTGTCCAGGTGGGGCATGGAAGAACCTGTGATCCTAGCACTGGAGAGGCTGAGGTAGGAGAATCGAAAGTTGGAGGCCTTCTGAGGTCGCATAGTGAGCCTTTGTCTCAAAACAACAATAAAACACAAAAGGCATGTGTATTTTATATTTTATAGGCTTGCTTCTGCCAGGTATTACTAAATGCCAGTGTATCTGACCAGAAGGGCATAAAATAGTGCCTGTTTCTTAACCTTGCTGACACTTGGTATTATTAGGTTTTTTTTGTTTTGTTTTTAATTTTTCTGGGCTGGCCTCAAACCACCATCCTCCAGATCTCAAATACCCAAGTAGCTGGAATAACAGGCTTGAGCCGCCACACTTGGCTGAGACAGCATCTTAATGTGTACCCATCAGCTGTGGACTTCATCCTTCTATCTCAGCCTCCAGACTGTTGGAATGACAGGCATGTGCCACCCCTTCTAGAAGAAACTATTGCTAAACAGTCTTGAGGCAAATTATTTCACAAGGTTGTTGTAATTAAGTGAATTAAATGTAAGCATTTTGTTTTTCTTTTGTGGATGCTGGGAATTGAACCCAGGGCCCTGCACTTGCTAGGCAAGCACTCTAACTCTGAGCCACACACCTCCAGCCCTTTACTTGAAATATTCCGAAGAGTGGGTGAGGCTAATTGCCTGTCTTCTGGGTTCCCATGGCTTCCTTTGTTTACTGTTACTAGATTGTCTTGAAGTTCTTGGCTTTTTATGTTCTCATGAGTACATGTATGCTTTCTTAGGGCAAGGAGTGTATCTTGTTCATCCCTGTTCTTCTAATCCTGTGTAGTCCTGGATATAGGAAAGTGCTTGAACTAAAATTATGAGTCATGCCTCCTTCACTCGCTCACTGTGTATCCAAGAGTGGGTGAAGTTCTTTTTTTTTTTTTTTGTAGCTCTTTAACTTGAGCCATGCCTCTAGCCTTTTTTTGTGTTGGGAGTTTTCAATATAGTGTCTCACAAACTACTTGTCCAGGCTGACATTGATCCACAATCCTCCTAATCTCTGCTTTCTGAGTTAGGATTATAGGAGTGAGCCACTGGTGCCCAGTGAAGATATTTAATACTATGAGTGCTTGTAGTAACCCCCAAATGTCTCTTGCATGTCAAGAGAAAGAAATTTTTATTAGCATTATATAAGGAGCTCACTAAATGTTTGAGCCAACATTGATTTTACCAGAATCCATAAGCACATAGGTATGGTTTTCACTAATATATTGAGAAGTACCTGATTTGCAAGCTGCTTCTGGGACTATAATAGACTATAATATTCCTAAGTGTGCATTCGTGTGAGGTGGGATAAGTGTCTAGTGATGCAATAAGAGTGTGATGATCCCCCAAAGGATGATTAGTTCTGAGCTTTTGAGGCATATTAGGGAGTTTGTGAAGAAAGTCAGATTTCTACTAATACAGGATTGTATTAAATATTTTTAGAAGTTTAAACTGGTATAGGTACTTGGATTGAAAGAAAGAACTTGGAGGCATATAGATAGGGTGTGTGTGTGTGTGTGTGTGCGTATGAATGTGTACACTGTTCTACAGACAAACTAACACAGATTGAACTACCTGTGAATAATGTGCTGGATGTGTTTGTTTAGTATTATCAATGTTCATACTTGGAGTTTGGCTTTCAAGTCAAAAACTAAGCCAATTGGATATTAAATTACTAACAGAAAAGTCATTGTTAATCCAGCTGTGGGTTTTGGTGCTTGGGATCATTTTGGAAAATGATTTGATTACAGAGAATCATTTGTTGGAAAAACTGCAAAAATTATCTCTCAGGATCTAAGTAGAAATTATATACTTGAGCTGTAGCTCATTTGGTATTGTAACTGATGATGTTTGGAGCGTTCTGCATTCACTGCTTTACAGCAGATTTGCCAGGCACTTGGATAGTTAGCTGGCCTCTTGATTTCCCATCTTGCAACAACACAAGGCTGAAGAGGGTAGTATTTAATGGAACTTAGACAGATCTGCAGAAGACCAGCACTATGAATGTCTTAACAGAGGCTGGATCTAATAGTTTAACACATCTATAAAAATTTCCTTCAAAGTTGATACTGAAATTCTTTCCTACATGTTGTCAGTGTTGACAAGTAGGGAGGCTACTGATGGCCTTAAGGTAGTTTATATTTTAAGGTAAAAATATTTTTAAAATTCAGGAATCCAAGTAATTGTTAGGATAGCAAAACACCTTACTGCTCGTGTTATAAAAGTGGTTAATTCAAAACCAGATCTTTCTAGGAAGAAGATCCCACTCTTTCTGTCTTGTTGTAGTGGAAAGAGTGGTGAACTGAACCATGAAACTCAAGTTTTGTTTTCTAGCTGTGTCACTGCCAAACATGTATTTTCTTGGGCCACTTAGTTTATTTATAAAATGAACTTCATTTATGAAAGAAGTGCTTTGTGCTTCTTTCTAGAGTTAGTTTTGTGTACACTACTGATTTCCTTCTGAAAATTCTAGATATTCACTGAAATTCTTCTCACACCTTACCCAGCGTCCCTGACATCCCTTTATCTTTTGTTCTCATTTAGTGTGTTGTTGGCGGCTGCAATGCCAGCTTTGCTTCTCAGGGGGGGCTAGCGCGCCATGTGCCCACACACTTCAGTCAGCAGAATTCATCAAAGGTGTCTAGCCAACCAAAGGCCAAAGAAGAATCTCCTTCTAAAGCTGGAATGAACAAAAGGAGGAAACTAAAGAACAAAAGACGACGCTCATTACGTAAGCATTTTGCTTGGACATTCTGTATGTAATTAAGTTTTGTCTATATCTTGGGCTTTCAAGAACATCCAGTTTTTACTCACCTTCAACTTGCCTTACCTGTTCCTATGAGTAGTCGTAAGCAGGATACCTATCTGTGTGAGAATTCAGTGGCATGTTTGTAGAAGTTACGGGAGTAAAGCATATGTGACCTTAGTAGAATATAAACTTTGTAGACTTAGATTTGCGGGGCTTCTTTGTTTAGTTCTAAATTAAGAAAAAAATTTAAAACACAGCATTGTTGGTGTTTCTAGAAATATTTTAGAAAATCTGGACACCACAAAGGTAAAAATCAAGCAAATGTTACTCCATCATTGACTCCAAAGCGACGTATGTGTGTATAGCAAAAGAATTTTAGTACAGTCTAAGAGTTTGTACTTGTAGTCTATTGTAACACATAGATAGAATGAGTATGTGTTTTATACTAGGTTATAACATATATCCTTGATGTTCATGGTGGAAAATAATTAAATAACCATGCTTCCAAATGTTAGGGCAGGGATTGACTGTGAACTTCCAGGGTCTCACACCATATCTGGTGTCAGCTGGCTAATGAAGCTTGAATGGAGAAATAGGAAGTAAGCGAGTAAGTGAAGCTGTCATGAAAAAGGGAATCCTCTGCAAGGGTCAACTAGAATGAAAAATCTGGGTTGAACCTTGCCCCTTTCTCTTGGGATTTGATTGGAGTACAAATAAACTAATCCAAGACTATAAAGCCAGTCGGTAAAACATGGAAATAAGTTGGTTTTTAAGTTTTTTTTTTTTTTCTTTTGTAGGACTGGGTCTTGAACTCAGGGTTTCCTACTTGCAAAGCAAGTGCTTTGCCACTTGAGCCATGCTTCCAGTCCATTTTTCTTTGGTTATTTTGGAGATGGGGTCTTGAGAACTATTTGCCCAGGCTAGCCTGGAAACAAGATCCTTCCAGTTTCAGCCTCCCAAGTAATTAGGATTATAGGTGAGAACCACTGCACCAGGCACATAGAAATAGTTTTGATACTACAAAGGTATAGGTGGACAAATGAACAGATAACACAGGAAAAGTAAACCTTCCTAAACTCTCTCAAGTTTCTTACTATTGAGATAAAAGCATCTTTATTGTTCACTAAAGCTTGCTGTTGAACTAGGCTATGGGCCCATTTTCTTCTGTCCTCACCCTGTAAAAAATGGAAATAACCTCCTTTTACTTGGGTATTAATTTGAGTACATTACAGTTATACATAGAAAGTTATATGCTGGTGGAATGGGTTAAGTGGTACAGGATTTGCCTAGCAAGTATGAGGTCCTGAGTTCAAACTCCAGTACCATACAAAAGAATTGCTAAATGTATAGTACGGCACTCAAAACCCAGGGTAACTTCCTACCTATTTCACGTAACCTCGTTATTACTTTAGTCTCGGTATCTGCACAGAATCATTTAAACTTACTGCCAGTACTTACTCAGCTTGCCACTTTGTTTTTTGTTACCCAGTCCAGGCCGCACTGCAGTGATTTTTTTTTTTTTTTTAAGTGATACTAGAGTTTGAACTTAGGACTTCACACTTGCTGGGCAAACACTGCACCTACCACTGGAGCCATTTGGCCAGCCCAAATACCCAGTTCTTGACTAGCATTGGGTGTATATCCTTTCTGAAGGAAATGATACTTTGAGCATAATCCCCAATATTAGCTAGTAAACCAGGTTTTGTAGGGAGTCAGAGGGGAGAGGTGGTGGGTGAGAAAAACTGTCAGCTGTTTTGTATAGAGAAAGACATATACTACACACACCCTGAACTTTAAAGAATTCAAGGCCTTTTCCTTTGGCGAGCCACTATTAAGACAGTGCTGTGATTTGAATTAGTACTGTTTCTACTGTTGTAATCCTTTTTTCCTTTAACAAAATACAAATGTGTATCAGAGTACTAAAACAATCATTTGCTAGTACAGTCCTTTGTGTAATTCAGGAAGTTCAGTTTTACTTAAGTAGATAAAACGTACATTATAACTTAAACATTTTTTTTTTTGAGGGGGGCCGTTCTTTTTTGTTTTTGAGACTGTTTTTTGCTATATTATGGTTTTTGCTGTGTTGCTTAGGCTAGCCTTGGACTCATGAATCCTCAGCCTCCCCAGTAGGTGGATTATAGGCTTAAAAATTTTATTTGGATGCACTTGGAAGAGAAAACAATACTATAAAAGAACCCCCACCACCACACACACACCCAAAATGCTGCAGTTGTAATCTACTTGAGGCTGAGACTGGGAGGATTGAGGTTTGAGGCCAGCCTGAGCAACTATTTCAGAAGACTCCATCCCCAAAATAACCAGAGATTTACCAGAATGCCACATTTGCTTGTCTCTCTACATACACACTTTGTTTTGGTACGGAGTCCAAAATATCTTACATGTCTTCTAAGCATAGTCGAAGTCTTCTTCATTATCACATCACTGTTTTTACACCTTACCACACGAAAACAGAGTCGATTTTCTTGCCTTGTTCTAATGAATCCCACAAACTTGAGTTGGAGACTACTGATCGATTTTTTTCTCTCTATGTTTGTGTGTGTGTGTCTGGGGATGGAACTCAAGCCTCTTGCATGCTCAACATACACTGTATCACTAAGCTACACCTCTGGCCTCTAGTTTAGCTTCCTTTTTTTTTTTTTTGAGGGACAGGGGTTTGAACTCAACCCTTGCGCTTTCAAGGCAGGTGCTCTACTGCTTGATCCACACCTCTAGTCCATTTTGCTCTGGTTACTTTGGAGATGGAGGGGTCTCTGAACAGACTGCCCTGGCTGGGTTTGAACCTCCATCTTCCCAATGCTGGCCCCCCAAGTAACTGGGATTATAGGTGTAAGCCACCAGCGCCTGGCTTAGTTTGGTATTCTGGATGTTTACTGTAGCATGGCTGAGCTCTGAATGCATAGACTAAAGTTTGGTGTTTTTATTATTACTATGAATTTAAGTGATGGCGTATTAGGAAAAAAGTACTTCTTGGGAAAAGGAATGTATTTGCAAAGCATAGAAGAGAAACTTCATGTTTTTTTTTTCAGTAGGTACAGAAAAGGAATTTGTTTAAATCCCATCACAAAAATAAGGCTGGTGGGATGGCTCAAGGTATAGTCCTGAGTTGAAAACCCCAGTACAAAAAAAACTTTAATGTATGACTACCATTTGTTAGTAAAATAGTTACATTTTAAAAATTACATAAGCTTATTGTGTAAACTGTTCTATAATTACAAGATATTTTCATGCATTTGTTTTATTTGATCATCCCATAGCTCTTATATTTGCATTTTGCAAATGAGAAACAGTCTCATGAAGGTTGAGCTGTCTGCACAGTCACATATCTGATCATTGGTAGGAGGTGGTACTTTGGTTTTGGTGCACTAAGTGTCATTCAGATGTGTGTTGATGGAGACACTGCTCATTGGCAGAACTCTTGCCTAGCTGGACATGGTTGCGCACTTCTGTAATCCCAGCACTTGGGGCCGAGGCAGGAGGATTGTGAGTTCAAGGCCAGCCTGGGCTACATAGTGAGACTCTGTCTCACAACAACAACAACAAAAAGAAAAGTGTTGGTAGTGTTGAGCTCAGTGGTAGAGCACTTGCCTAGCATGCACAGGGACCTGTGTTCAGTCCCTAGTACTGACATCTGACACCCCACCACATGAAAAAAAAATTAATGACGTACTTGGCTGGACATGGTGCCTGTGTCTTGTCTGAAGTCCCAGCTATTTGAGAGGCTAAGGTGAAATGATCACTTGAGCCCCCAGGAGTTCAAGACTAGCAACATATACCTCATCTCCTAAATCAGTCATTAAATGAATGGATGAATAAGCAAATACATAGTGTATCTGCAAGTTTTCTTTAATTGTTTGAGAACAGTTATTTGTAATTAACAAAATACTTGTCAAAAAGCTGGAACTAGGGTTGGGAGCTGACTAAGTTGATAGAGCCCTTGGACAAGGCCCTGTAATCAATCCATATCACTGGGGAAAACAACAACAAAAAGTCTGGAAATAATATCACTACTTTGTAAAGTTTGGAAACTTTTTGATCACATTAAAATAGAAATGCTCATGAAGTATATTTCATGTATTTGGCCACAGTGAAATTGAGGCCCCAATAGTGTGTGTAGAGGGAGATGCTCACATTTTTTGAAAATGTACAGATGGTGCTAAGAGAGAGATGTTGGAGTAAAAGGTAAAGTTACTGCAATATAGAATCATGGGGTCTAGTTAGAACCTTCCTGCTCTAAGGTGGAGAACGAACCCACATTCATCTTTCTCTTATCACCTAGAGTCTTATCACTTTTAAAGCAAACAATATCTTTCATTTAAACAGTGATAGGCACTTGTCTTATTATTTTTGTGGTAGCAGAGTATTTGGTGTTTAGTTGACTGTGCATGTTTCTGACGCTCTTTCTCTTCCTGTTGACTTTTAGCACGCCCGCATGACTTCTTCGATGCACAGACACTGGATGCGCTAAGACACCGAGCCATATGCTTTAATCTCTCAGCTCACATAGAAAGTCTAGGGAAGGGACACAGTGTTGTTTTTCATAGTACTGTAAGTATGCCTTGTTTTTCTTTCATATTATATAGGTTTACAAAAAGGAATGTTTTGACATGGAGAATCATACTTCTAAATGACCCAAAACCGTTTTAACAAAAGTCACAAAACCAGCCAGGTATGGTGGTACATGTCTGTAATGCTAGCCGTTGGAAGGTGGAGGCAGGAGGATCATGAGTTCAGGGATGTCCTGAATTATATAGCTAAACCCTGTCCCCCCAAAATAAAACAAATGAGAAAGTCATAAAAACCTTTTGCTTTATCAGTATTTTAGAAACTACATGTATCCTTGGTCATAAAGTAAGTAATTCCTATAATTGTAATGCTTATGACTAAAGTGAATATTTTAACCTTTTGTTTGAACTATTTAGAAATAACTGGAGTGGCATATCTTACATTGCTGCTAGCATTCCACTGGGCTTTGACCTGAAGTAAACTAGGTGTCTTTGGTCGGGGGGAAGGAGGGCAGTACTAGAGTTTGAACTCAGGGCCTTATGTTTGCTAGGAGGTGCTCTAACACTTGAGCCACTCCATCAGCCCTGCTTTTTGTGATGGGCTTTTTTGAGATAGGGTCTTGCAAACAATTTGCCTGGGCTGACATTGAACCACAGTCTTCCTGATCTCTGCCTCCTAAGTAGCTAGGATTACAGGCATGAGCCACTGGCGCCTGACTCCTGTTAGGTTTAAAATGTTTCATTCATGCCCTATTTGTTGCATATGCCTTAACCCAAACACACAGATCCAGTTTGTATTAAATAATTTCTTTTTAAAAGATAACACTGGCCATCAAATTAAAGCTATATGAGGGATGGGATTTTTAGATGTGTTTTCTTGCATTGATGTAATTCCAGGTGCCTAGAATTGTGGCTGGCACTTTGTAGACACTTAGTCTATTTGTTTCATGACTAGGTTTTCAACCCAGAAGAAGCAAAATGTCAATTTGGAATATCAAAGCAATAACTACAGCTTATTTTTGACTAACTAGCAGCTAATGGAGGGTTATTTTTCTTTCAAGTCTGTTGTTGCTCATCCGTTGTTACTCATTCATTCATTCATTCATTTATTTTTAAAGGACCAGGGTTTGAACTTAGGGTTTCACACTTGAAAGTAGGTACTCTACTTCTTGAGCCAAATTGCCAGTCCATTTTCTCTGGTTAGTTTGGGGATGGGGTCTTATGAAGTATTTGCTTGGGCTGGCCTCAAACCTCAGTCCTCCCAATCTCAGCCTCTCAAGTAGGGTAGAATTACTGGCATGAATAGCCAAGTTATGGAAACAGCCAGGATGCCCCACTACTCATGAATGGATTAAGAAAATGTGGTATTTATACCCAGTGGAATTTTATGCAGCCATGAAGAAGAATGAAATCTTACCATTTGCAAGTAAATGGATGGAACTGGAGAACATCATTCTGAGCAAGGTTAGCCAGGCTCAGAAGATGAAAAATCGTATGTTTTCTCTCATGTGGACTTTAGATCTAGGGCAAATACAGCAGTGTGGTTGGACTTAGGTCACATGATAGGGGAGAGCACACATGGGAGGTATGAGGATAGGTAAGAAACCCAAAACATGATAATATTTGATGTCTCCACTGCAGAGGAACTAATACAAAAACCTTAAAGTGACAGAGGTCAATATGAGAAGGGGATCAGGAACCAGTGTAAAGATCAGTTAGAGATGAATCAACTTGGGATGTAACACATTTGTACATGAAAGCAATGCTAGGAATTGCTCTGTATAGTTATCCTTATTTCAACTAGCAAAAATGCTTTGTCTTTCTTATTATTGCTTATACTTTCTCTTCAACAAAATTAGAGATAAGGGCAGAACAGATTCTGCCTGGAAGCAAGGGAGGGAGGGAGAGGGAGGGGTGGGGGATGGGGGGAGAAATGGCCCAAACAATGTATGTACATATGAATAAACGAGTGAATAAACGAATTAAAAAAAAAATTACTGGTGTGAGTCACCAGCACCCGGCTCCTTTGTCATTTTTAAATTGGCATAATTGGGTGTAGTTAAATTAGTGAAGATAGATTATTTATAGATGATACTCTTGGCAGTTTGAATCCCTGGAAAACTGAGTGTTTAAGTTTTTGGCAACTGAAATGCAAAATATACTAAGTTTGGGTTCCTTTTGTGCTTTATTTTTCAGTCAAAATGGATGAGACAAGCTGGGCACTGGTGGCTAACACCTGTAATCCTAGCTATTAGGTAGGCAGAGATTAGGAGGATTGTGGTTTGAAGCCAGCCTGGGCAAATAGTTTCTGAGATTCTATCTTGAAATTATCTAACACAGGAAAAGGGCTGGTGGAGTGACTCAAGTAATAGAGCACCTGCCTAGCAAGTGTGAGACCCTGAGATCAAACTCCAGTGCGACAAAAAAAAAAGAAAAATTTGTTAAGACTTGAAATATTAAAGTATTTTAAAGATTTATTTAATATTTAACAATACTAAAATCTTGTTAAATTTGAATCTATTTTTCCCATCTCCTATAATAATGTTTTCTTGCATTTTTGATTTTTGTTCTGTGTTTCTTTCCTAATTATTTGGCATTTCTGTTACCTCTGCCTACTTATTTTAATGTACATATGTAAGTACATGACATTAAGTAAGTACGTAAGAATGTAAGTAAGGTAACCGCATTGTTCTTTCTGTTCCTTTTTAATCTCTCATCCATCTTGCTCACTTTATTTAGCTCCATATATGCCATTTACTCTCCCACCCCCTTTTAAAATTGCTGCCCATGCTACCATGTTTGACAGTCTGCTGTGCTGGCTTTCTCTGACAGGTTCTCAAGTTTAAGATAAGGACATGTTCTAATAGTGTTTTTGTGGATAATCACCAAAGGAATGGGATGATAAGATGTTAAAGCTACTTACTAAAGAAAGCTTAAAGATTTTGTATTTCTTCGTTTTGTCTTAAAAGTCTCAGTTTAGACTTGACTCTAGGGAATGTAATTGTGTAAGATCCCTTCAGATTGCATAAACCAAGAGTATAACCAATAGTAGATTGTATTTATGGAGTGAGTATAGATGGAGGCAAGCTTGACTTTAATGTAAAGCAAGGTATTAATAAATGAATGAGAGATTGCTGGGCTCGATGGTTCATGTCTCTAATTTTAGGTGGGGATTGGGAGGATCCAAGGTTCGAGGCCAGTTGGGGCAAAAAGTTAGAGACCTCATAGCAACAAAAACACTGGGTGTAGTGGCACGGGACCATCATTCCAGCTATGTAGGAGGTGTAAGTAAGTAGGCTGATTGTAGTACAGGTTGACCCTGAGCAAAATACAAGATCCCACTCAAAAAATAAATAAGGCAAAAAGGGACGGATAGGGACGGATAGGGGTGTGGCCCAGGTGGTGGTGTGTCTGAGGAGACCCTGAGTTCAAACCCCAGTGCTACCTCCAGAAAAAAAGGTGTCATCAAATTTAACTGTCACCGCTCAAGAACTTCTGTCCCTTAACTGCAATTTTTCAGATGACAAAGCTAGGAACTGGAAAGGTTGTATGTCTTCCATTACAGCATAGTGTAGTTGTATATTATCACATAGGGCTTATGGACTTCTTCCCCAAGCCTCATTCACTGATTTCAGGGTGAAACACTTGTGATCTTTAAACTAAAATATATGTTATTAAAAGGAAGGTAGAAAGTAGTAGCATTAATTCGCTATCAATAAAGTCCAGGCAAGTGTTTAAATCTTTAGGGGTAGAATTGTGGTTGTTGGAAATTGGCAGGAAAGGTATGAAGAGATGTGAAGACCTGTGATCTGTCAAGAAAGGAGAGGACTGGTACAGGTTGGCTTTGTGAGATGGTAGGGTGTGAGTGTAACTGCATCACACTGAGGCTTTTTTAAAGAACATAGGAAGTGTTCCTTAGTGAGGCTAGGAGAGGAGGAGGGAAACACAGTTTGGAGACCAGAAAGAGTTAAAATGGTTGCTTTGGGAATTTTCTTGATAATCAAGATCAACGGCCTGCTTAGCAGTGATGACTAAAGTTTATTTTGAAGTTCGTGAGCATAGGTTCTTGACTTGGTAAGTCTTTTTTCTTTTTTGAAGTGGTGCTGGAAATTGAACTTAGGGCCTAGTGCTTGCTAGGCAAACATCTACCATTCAGCTACATTTCTAGTTCCCAGAAGTCTTTACTTTCTTTTTTAAAAAAAAGGTCAGTAAGGTGGGAACCAGTGGCTCACAGGTGTAATCCTTGCTACTTGGGAGGCAGATCAGGAGGACTGTGCTTTGAGGCCAGCTTAGGGAACTAGTTCTCAAGAGCCACCTCCAAAATAACCAGAGCAAAATGAACTAGAGTTATAGCTCAAGCCATACTTGCCAACCCGCTTTGCAAGTGTGAATGCTTGAGTTTAAATTCCAATACCACCAAAAAAAGTCAATAAAATGTCACCAGGCCCTGAGTATTACATTAGGGCTAGTTTGTTCATTCCTTTAACTACTGAGGACCTACTGTTTGTTAGTCATGTACTAATGCTGTATGTCAGGAAACAAAGCCGATTAAAATAAAATAAAAGCACCATGGCTATACTCTTGTGGAAGAGACATGGTACACAAGGCGAATTAGTAAAATTGTGAAAGCTTAAAAGGAAGTGAAAGCGAGTCATTCAGTTACTAGGGCCATGAACATTTTAGCCAGAGGGAAAATTAAGGAAAACACATTGAGGTGAGGTGGGAATATGCCATATATCCTTGGAAACAGACCTTGGCTTTTATTTGGTGTTAGTTGGGAAGCCTTTAGTAGGTTGTTTTTTTTGTTGTTTGTCTGTTTGGGTTTTTTTTGGGGGTTGGTACTGGTCATTGAACTCAGGGCCTTGCCCTTGTTGGGTTAGCACTCTACCACTTGACCCTAGTCCTTTTCTTTTCAGTTTGTTTTTCACATAGGGTCTTGACTGCTGCCTTGGGTTTGCCTCATATGATCTTCTCCTCCACCTCATGAGTAGTTAGTTTGCCACCATACTGGTATGTTGTTGATAGGATCTAAAATTTGAGTGG